CCCCCCCCTCCGTTACCGCCGAGGTAATTGTTGGCTTGGCGACCGGCGGGGAAGGCTCCGGGGCCAAGAGGATGGAACTCAGCTCCATCTTTGAGGAGATCGAGGCCCTGGGTCTGACCCCGCTCACTCAGGGGGAGGACGACCCTTTGCCAGCGGGGCTCAGTCGCCGCCCCCTCCTCTCCCTGACCCTCCCCCTACTGATAACCCTACGTCCCAGGTGGCCGACCCCGTCCTTACTCTCGGGGCGCCCCTTGTGTTACCAATTGGCCCTGCCGACTCGGGCGCCGGAGATGAAGCTGCCGAGCTCTCCGGGGTGACAGCTGGTGCCGAGCGGCCGGGTATCGAGCATCTGTACACGCTCATGCTCCACACTCAGCATTTCCCCACCCTCGTGTCCCGCCCTGATACCAAGTGGTGGGACTACCTAAGATCCGCTGAGGGTGAGGAACCCCGTTGGGCCAGCGTATATTCCACCTTAATCCTGCGGCCCATCGGGGACATCAGTTGGCGGCTCCTTCACAGAGCCGTGGAGCACGGGCGTGTACCTGGCGCGGTTCACCCCCATCCCGGACACCTGCCCTTTCTGCGGCGTGAGGGAAAACCTGGCGCGCGCCTACCTCGAATGCGCCAGGTTGCAGCCCCTATTCCGGCTCCTCCAGATCCTCTTACTGAGGTTCTGGCTGCACTTTTCCCCTCACCTTTTCATTTATGCACACCCTATCCGTGGCCCCACAAAGTCGCAGGACCTCCTCGTCAACCTCCTCCTGGCTTTGGCTAAAACCACCATCTACAACACCAGGGAGAGGATACTAGACGAGGGGGTTCCCTGCGACTGTGCAGCCTATTTCGCTCCTCCCTAATATCACGTATCTGGGCAGAGTTCCTCTGGGCAGCGTCCGCTGGCTCCCTTGACAGCTTCGAGGAGCAGCGGGCGCTGTCCGGGGTTCTCTGCTCGGTGTCCCCATCCGGTTCCCTTGTTTTGACCCTGTGACCCGCACCCCCGACCGTGTTTTTCATTATTTGTCCCAAGTACTTAGTTGAACCCCAGGTCCAGTCATCC